AGGGATGTTACCGATCGAGGTATCCCTGGATGCGGAGTCTTTCCCTTAGTTTCTTTGAGGCTTTTTCGAGCGGTAGGTGCTATGTAGGGGTAAAGTCGCGGTGTATGTCTGCTTTGGATTGGCCCGAGGCTGCACCCTGAATTGTTCCTAGCGGGGCCCCCAGACGGTTCCTCTCTCCTCACTGCTTGCTCCTGGCAGCTCAGAGAGGCAGGAGAGGGGGAGATTCGTTGAAATTAACTAGAGGCATATGCGAGATCCTGGAGTGGATTTTCCCGAGATTCCTCCCCTTTGACAAACTTGCCCTGGGTTCTGTGTCTCTCCCCCCTCCCCCACAGTTGCTTGGGCCTGGAAGCAGAATGTGCCCCCCTCCCTCCACGTTATTGTGTATTATCTAGCCTCTGGAGGCCCCCTCTCTGATCAGGGTCCCCCCTGTTGTGTTAGAGGCTGCACAGACACCTCATGAGAGACAATCCCTACCTGGAAGAGCTCGCAGCTAGGCCAGACTGACAAAGAGAGGGGAAGGGAAACTGAGGCACATAGCAGGGCAGGGAAACTGAGGCACACAGCGGGGAAGTGACTTCCCCAGGGCCACGCAGCAGAGCCACGGATCAACCCCAGGTCTGCGGAGTCCCAGCTCAGTGCGCCGTCCCAAAGCGAAGCTCATCCTCCCCCTGGACTCTAACCAGCGACGTTCACGGGCGGCGGCTGCCGCCATGCGGTTCTGGAGGGCAGGAGCATTTCCTCCCCACATTCCTGATGGGTCCGAGGCGGCCCGGCCCTGTGTGGACACAGATATACCAGTATAAAAGTGTTTATATTGGTATCACTAACTGTAGGGAGGGAAGGGGAGCTAGTCCAGGATAAAGCATTGTTAGACCAGTCTAAGTGCATCTCCGTTAGGCATTGTACGGGGTGGCTCTTTTAGTTGAAAATGCACCCCCGTCACCGTCACGTGAAACCTGTGTGCAGGCCAGGCCTTCGGCTGTGAGCTCCTGGGTGCTCGGGCTGTCTATTTTTGTTGTGTTTGTACAGCTCCTAGCACAGTGGCGGCCTGGCCCGGGGCCGCACTCTGAATGCTAAATCATAAGCTTCAGGGTTGGGGCTTTAACCTAGTCGCCCAAGTGGGTTTTATTTGAATGTGCCTTCCTGTCCCCAACACTCCAGCCATGTAGCTTGTGAAGTCCCCAGTCCTCGCTCCGTGCTCTCTTATCTCTTCACTTGTAGTTTTTTCCCATTTTTATGTGTCTTTGGGCCGGTGCCAGATCAATTACAGGCTGCATTTGTGGGGGGAAGAATTGCTGCTTTTCAAGTGGTTTTTTGAGGTTAAAAATTCATGTCTAATTCAGCCCTTTGGGGTGTACCACAAGCTTGTCACATGTAATAAATTGGCTCATTTATTAACGAGCAAAGGCGGTTGAAGGGAAACAAAGTGGCTTGTAAATTAATCCTGCCCCATTTGTGATAAGTAGTTGATCTGCTCTTTCCACAGGGATAATGGGCAGGGAGATCGGTTTTGACTGATGGACTGTGTGCTTCCTTTGGGTGCCTTCCCTTGACCTGTTTGGAAACACGGCTAATTAACCCTTAATTTGCAATTATTCTAAGCCTAGGAGAGTGGGTTTATTTAGATAGAGCTCTCTTTAGAGACACAAGCTATTGTGTAGTTGCTGTTAAGAAGGCTCTTAACCTAGTGAGTTGCGTGGTTATAAACCAAACCCCGTTCCTCCAGAAGGGAAAGGAGCCGGAAAGGCACAGACAAACAGTGGCAGAGTTTGGGACAGAACCCAGGAGTCCTGGGTCCCCGTTCCCTGCTCTAATCACGAGATCCCTCTCCCCTTTCAGAGCTAGGGGGTCCTAGCTCCCAGCCCCTCCCTGTTCTAACCCACTAGGCCAAATAGAAACCGGAGGGGCCGGATAAACAGAATTATTCCTAATGGGCGGCCTTTTAAAGTCACTGCAACCAGAACAAACAGGAATAAAAGTTGCCCCCTTAGAAGCCAGGGTATTCTTGCAAAGAGCTGTTGGGGCTGCATGTTCCTGACTCGCTCCATCGGCCTGGTTTCCTCGTGGCATTGAAATGTTCTCCTGCTTCTGTGGCATGGGGCTCCGTGTGTCACAGCCTGAGCTTTTCTGATGGCTTCTCGGTTTTGCTGTTAGCTGGGAGCTTGGCACGCTGGGTCCGAACTTCCCTGTCGAGTCGCCAAGTGATAATTGGCTGTTTCGTAGCCGGTGCGAGTGAGGCTGGAGGGCAGGGAGATGCGCGAAGGCCTCTGTCTAGGACCTATGCTGAACAGGGCTCGTTCAGGGGTAGGAAAAATACAGGCGGGAGGCCAGCTCTGTGAGAAGAGGAGTGCGTGTCTGTGCGTCTCCTACCCCCGTCTCCCCTAGTGCCCGTTCCACCCTGAGGCTCTGCTCTTCTCAGCAAAACAAAATGAAAACCAAATCAACGCCCCTTCTCCCGAGTTCCCTGCACCATTCGCTGCTGCTAACTGGGTGCCTGGAATGAGCTTTGGCTTGGACAGACCCTGTTCCCCCAGGGATTGGGGCTGGCAGAGGCCTTGCCCTGGCCGAAGTCGCTAGCCCGTCAGCTCAAGCGGACGACTTTCGGATGCACCCTCAGCTAGCGAGTGCATCTGCAGCGAAGGAGAAAGCGTGTGTCAATGCGGGGAAACTCCAGTTCCTGCATGTCCCACTCCACAGGGACGTCACGTCCCCTTTCCCCTCCCTGCTACGTCGCACCTTCTTCCCACGATGCATCTCCATGACTTCCTGCAGCGACGGCCATCCCTATTCTGTGCTTGAGCTGATCTCCCGCGTCCCCCCTCCGGCTGGGGCGGGGACCGCCTCTGTGGTTGTAAAGCACCCGGTTGCGTTTACGCTGCTCTGCAAAATGGCGGTCAAAATGGCACCGTCTGACTGGGCGGGTCGCCTCCCTGTGCGGTCAGCCCTACTCGCTGGCTTTGTTTATGAGCCCGGGTGCCCCGCTGGGCCCAGACCGCTTGCAGGTGCTGGATTCTCTTCCTCCTGGTGCAGGATTCCACCCTGAAGCGGAGCGGCCATGGCGGTGCAGTGTGTGGGAGGTTGTTGCTGTTGCGGGGAAAGAGAGAGGGCACAGCACAGCTGCTTAGGGGAACTGGAGACCTGCCTTCAATTCTTTGCTCTCCCGGGGTGACCTTGGGCACGTCTCTCTCTTTCCTCCGGGAATAATGATGTGTCGGGGTCGGGTCCTGTGCTGGCGGGGCAGTCCCTAAGGTAGGATGCAGTGCTAATCACAGCCCATGCGACGCTGCTGGAATGAAGGTGGTTCAGTCCTTGGGCTGATGAGGAAGTGGTTTTATGAGCTATTCGTTAAAGATTCTCTCTGCTCTGCCCATCTTCTGATGCCAAGATGAGGCTAAAAATAAGATGTGCCATCCCAGCTCCTTCAGAGGGGCATTTTCCCCTGGGTGCTGCGACCAGCAGGGAGGAAAAATGTAACTTCTGGCTAGAGAGGGACCTAGAAACCGCTCCCCCCGCCCCCAGAAGTACTGAGCGCTCGGCACAGACTATTTGAGGGTGGTTCATGCGAGGGGGCGATCTAGCCCTGGAGGGGCTGCCCCAGCCAGGGAACCCCACAAGGCACCCATCGCTGGGCGCTTCCTTGCCCCTTGGGTTCTCTTGCTCGTGAGGCAGGCTTCCTTTCCTGTCCGGTCCCCGTTCGGGGGGGAGTGGGCACGTCTGGAACCCTGTGGATGTGCCCGTTCTGGCCTGCCCCGGGCAGCTTCGAGACGTGTGTCCCGGGCTCTAGGAAGGAGCCGGCTGACAGGCCCTGTCGGCTGCGGGAGGCTGGGTGACGCTGGCCCAGGGAGTGTGGCGTGGGAAGGAGGGGGTGAAGTTTGCTGTGTTTGACGAGCCGGTCAGTAAAGTGCTGTGTGATCAGTGGCTTGTGTTTTCTTACCGGGGTGAAATATCTACGCAGATGCCGGCAGGGGTAGGGAGATGCCGGAGGCCGAAGCTGCAGCCAGGAGACTGGCCCACTCCACCGCCGTTAATCTGGTCTCTCCCTTTGCCCTGGATCCTTGCAAGTCCGGCCCCTCTCAGCACGTCCCTCGCGGAGGGGCCCAGGCGAGACCCACCCTGTGTGGCTGCATTACCTGCGTCCCGTCCCCTGGGAGTTTGAGCCAGGCTGCCTGGTGTGGTGTATCTGTTGGATCTCGGGGGTGAAGCCGGGTGGGGTTGGGGCAGCGCTTTGGACGGGAGACCCCAGCTACGGGTCCCCCCAAGGAGCGCTGGCCCGTGGGATTGTGGGATAGCATTGGGAGACTCTCAGGACCTGGGCCCAAGCTGCGTCCACACTGCAAAACAAGGGGCTTGGCCCCTCCGCCTGGCCAGTCCTAGAGCCTGGGCCCAGGGGACTCGCGGGTCCAAGGCAGAGAGATTTGGGTGTAGATGGAAGGGGGCTTTGGGCTCAAATCGGAGCCTGGGGTTGTGTGCAGTGTAGACAGACTCACGGGGGGCCGATTTTCAAAAGCAGCCACGTGACAGTAGCACTGAAGTCTCATTGGAAACAAGTGCAGTTTGGTCTCCTTGCCCCACGCCTCAGTCATGCATGTGAGCACGGGTTCTACACGCATGGGAGGGTTTGGTGTGTGTGGGGTAAGAACACGCAGTAAACCTGCAGCGTAGACATCCCCCAGGCCTGTCTTGGAAATGGCAGGGTTCTCCCTCGGCTCCTGTTGTCTGTGGCTTTGTGCCGCCTGCAGGTGTTTGCATCAGAGCCCAGCGGGTGTGAAATGCGAGCGGGGCCTTTTGCACTGCGGGGGAGTGGCAGGGCGCCGGGAGGAGGGGAGGGATCCGGCCCCTTGCTCGGGGAGCTGTCGGGCTGGGTTCTCATTGCTTGCATGGGCTGGGCCCAGCTGCAGCCCCGGTCCTCGCTGCAGCTCCCGGGCGTTGCGGTGATGCTGACGAGCGATTCCCTTCCCCTCTCGGCTGAATCTCTCTTGTGTTCTGCTCTCTTCCAGGTCCGCAGAGCAAGGTGTCGCGGTGCCAACCCAATGAACATAACTGCCTGGGCACGGAGCTGTGCATACCCATGACCAAGCTATGCAACGGCTTACAGGACTGCATCGACGGCTCGGACGAGGGGTCGCACTGCCGGGGTAGGGGAGCGCCGGCGGGTCCCCGGGGCAGCCCCCACCTCCCTCTGGGCTGAGAGACTCCGCTGTCAGGGGTGGGGGGAAATTCCACACCGGCTGTTTGCACTAATACGGCTGCGCCAGCGCCGACCCCAAGCCACGGGCCGTGGCCCCGGTAGAAAGTGATTTGCCCCTGCGTGTGGCGTGTTCGCACAAGAGCGATGCACTGGTGGAGGTACCTCAGTGCGACCCCCGACCCAGCACTGTCAACGAGTCCTGGGGGCTGGGGGTTAGAGGACTTGAAGGTTCCCTCCTGCAGGAAAAATGCTGATTGTTCCTGTCCGGTCAGGCTGTTAAATAGCTGCACTCTCCGCTGAGCGGAAGGAGACGCAGGGATTTTGGGTTGAGTTTAGATTCTGATTTCCTCCTTAGCCGGGGGTCTTGCTACCTCCTGTTGGGAAAAACCTAGCCTGGCCTGGCCCTTGGCAGACCAGGGTTCAATCTCTGCCTCTGGCACCGACTCCTTGTGCGTTCTTGGTCAAGTCACTCAGTCTCTGTCCCTCAGAACCATGGGGACAACAGCCCTGCCCCACGGGGGTGTGGGAGGCTGAATACGTTCGATGTTGTGAGGTGCTCAGATGTGCCAGCTAAGTACCGAAGATACAAGTACAGAGTCCCTGCTGCTTATACGGAGGATGCCTAGCTCTTACCTAGCACTTTCCCAGGGAGTTCAAGATTGTTATTCCCAGTCTCCAGATGGGGAAACTTAGGCACAGAGCAGGGAGGTGACTTGTGCAAAGTCTCCCAGCAGGTCAGGGGCAGAGGTGGGCATAGAGCCCAAGGCTCTGGAGTCCCAGCTCTCTCCACCGTGTGCCCGTTGCCTTTATGAACCACCTGTTCAGGCACCCGGGAACATTCCCCTTCGCATAAGCGTCTCCTCCCGGCTCCCTGCACCAGATCCCTGGCCCGAATGTGTCCTCCCAGCTATTTGTATAGATTCCTTTTATAAAACCACCCGCGCCCCTGTACAGTGTCTCAACAAGTCTGGGGCGGGCGAGAGGGCTAATCAGAGGCTGGATCCGTGAAGTGGGGAGGGTTAATTCTGTCTGACATTGAGTTACACCTACTGCAGCCGGGCACGCAGCCGAGCAGGCGCTGGGAGTGCCCGGCACTTGCAGGAGCTCTCAGAGGAGGATACTAAAGAGCCAAGTTTTCCCCTCCGGTTCTCAGTGGTGGCCCTGCGGGACCCACTGTAGTCAGCTAGTCTGTGTCTCTTAGGCACTCCCAAGCCCCTCGCCCTCTCTAGCGTGTTTATCCTCACCCAGCCCTGAGGCACGGCAGGATTGTTACCCCCATTCGACAGAGAGAAACTGAGGCGTAGAAGGGCGAAGTGACGTACCTGTGGTCCCGCGGGGAGATTGTGGCAGAGCTGAGGCCTTGTTTCCTGACTAGTTCACTAACCATTGGGCCACCCTTCCTCTCTGCCACTGGAGTCTGGCCTGCCCCATGCAAGAGACGGAATTGCACCCAGTAATTCCCACAGTGGAGAGAATCGCTCCTCCTTGGATGAAAGGGGAAACTGAGGCCCAGTGAGGCAATGGGGCTTGCCTAAGGTCACACGGCTGATCAGTGGCAGAGCTGGGACAAGAACTCGGGTTTCCTAGGCCTTAACCAGCACGCCTCACTGCCTTGATCTCCACTCTGATGATAATTCTCCTTTCCCTGGGCCTGAGACGACAAGCTAAGGGGCCAAGGCTTTTGTCTAGGGGATTTAGAGGTATGATTCCCACATGCTCCTAAACCCCACGGTCACTTTGGGAAAATCACTAGCAGCCCTACACGCTCTTCTCTAACCTAACGCTGGCACGCCAGCCTGCAGGCAGTTCCCAGTGCACAAGCAACCCTCCGATAACAGACCAAGGGAGGGGCAAACTCAGCGGAGGGAGGGAAGAAATATTGGCTGGTAAAGAAGCAGAGATCCCAGCTGCAACCTTCGAACAGGCTATTCCTGGTAGCGGAGATGTGGGAGCCACAAACCTTGACTGTGCTTTTAAAAATCCCCAAGGGCTGGAATTGTAGCGGCACTGTTTCCACCGGAACAGCGTCCTTTTAAACAAAAACAAACGAACAAAATGAAAACCCTAATATTGTTGGGGTTTTCTTTGGTGCATGTGGCACTTGAGCCGAGAGAGAAGGCTCTGAAATGAACATGCAGGCCTGCCAAACGCCCTGCAAAGCCGATAGACCGTGTGAACGAGTCAGCTGGCCCACCCGGCTTATTAAACTTGCATACGCATAACACAGAGGATTTAGAGCGGGATTGTGAGCAAATCTTTACTGTTTTTGCCAGGGGAAAGGGCGCTCCTCCCGCTGTGTGTTAGACAGCCAACTGGCCTGGGGACCGTAGCCTGGGCCATGACCTCCCCGGGCAAAAGCAAAATGTGAACATTAGGCATACGCTGTGCCAAAGAGGGTAAACGGTGCCGGCGTGGCTTTCCTTTGCTGGCCCTTGCACTGTGGTAGGTGGACCAGAAATGGATTGCGTCCACACTGCTCCTGCAACTTTGTCCGCTCTGGAATGTAGGTCTGCTAGAACTGTCCGGGTCTAGGTAAAGTGGTGACACAGGCTAGGCTGGCTGGTGTTAAACCGGGATAAAGGGGAAATGAGCTATTTCAATAGAAAGCACCTTTAGCCTGGTATAACTGTGGCCAGACTAGGCGCGGGATAGATAAAACCATTCCCCTAGCTGGCGTCACGACACTGGTAAAATTTCTAAGTGTAACCCTGGCTTCATTCGGTTTAACTCTGAGCAAAAGAGAGTCATGCCCGTTTAAAAAAACAACAACCCTGCATTAATTGTAGCAATTTAAGTCCAAAGATCGATTGATGGGAGACCGATCAGCTCCCACTGAAACAAGGAGATCTTTTACACTGGTGTAATAGAGTGTAGACCAGCCCTTAAACCAGAATCAGAGCGTCTACACACACGCGTGGACTGGATTAACTAAATTGATTTATATCGACATGTTTAGTTCTGGCTGTAACAGGGTCCTTGGGCTAGTGTGGGAATTTGCAATTGACACCCCCCTCCGCCCCCCATGCTCCAGTTCTGACCTTGCATTAGATTCTCGTTCCCCAAATGTCAGGGTGAGATTCACACAGCAGGAAGTGTTTACAAACCACTCCAATGCAGCTCAGCGTCCTGACTCCACACCCACTTCTGGTCAAGGCGGCAGGAGGCGTCCTATGGGAACTGGTCGTTGCTCCCTGGTTAGTCGGCGTGGTTTTCCGAAAGCCCCCCACTTCCTCCCTGACCTGGACTCGACCTCTGAACCCCGCGTAAACAAAGCAGAATAGATTTGGATGGTAAAACGTTGTCGTCGTCCCCCAGATCTTTGTTGGTGACCCTGGCAAGAGCTGCAGGGACCTAGTGCCAAAGGTTGTGAAATTTCCTATCTGATTTTGATGTGGTTTGGGGGTAGGGGGGGCTTTTCATTAACCACAGAATGTGACCTCTGGGCTCTGCAGTGCTGGTTTCTGGGGGTGCAGATTTGGGGGGGAGGGAGGGGGACTATGGGATGTGGGTGGCATGCTGCTGCTGTCCATTTATATTCCTGCGTCCTCCCCCTCGCCGCTCTTCCCCAGCCCTGAATGTACTGTACTTGCAAATTAACTGTCCCGGGTGTGACGCGAGCCCCGTCCCAGTCCTGTCCCCCAGGGGCAGGAAGGCGGGAGTTGGGTCTCGGGGTTGCTCTGTGGAGAGGGGTGCTGGTCAGCGGGTGTTTAATGAGCTGTGGTCAGAGATGGCATCTCAAACCCTCCCCCACGCTCTGTCCTAAGCCTGGAACGGGGCTGCCAGTTACTAATAACCTGCACTGGCTTTGAAGTGCCGACTCCCTCCCTTCCCCCCTTTCCCACTCCGAGCCAGCCAGCCCCCCGCCCTGGGGCCAGATTGGAGCCGACGCCCCCTAGAGGGGAAAGGCCCCATTCCCCGCCACCCTGAGCCAGCCAGCCCCCCGCCCTGGGGCCAGATTGGAGCCGGCACCCCCTAGAGGGGAAAGGCCCCGTACCCCATTCCCCACCACCCTGAGCCAGCCAGCCCCCTGCCCTGGGGCCGGATCGGAGCTGGCGCCCCCTAGAGGGGAAAGGCCCCGTACCCCATTCCCCACCACCCTGAGCCAGCCAGCCCCCTGCCCTGGGGCCGGATTGGAGCCGGCACCCCCTAGAGGGGAAAGGCCCCGTACCCCATTCCCCACCACCCTGAGCCAGCCAGTCCCCCGCCCTGGGG